GATTTCTAAATCTTGTAGATGATTGACTATTTCTTTCTCCAAGTTTGCGTCAAATGTCACCTTATGTCCACCTAGATATCCTTTTGCACTGTTTCCCATTTGAGGACGGCGCCGCAATGTCGTGAACGGAAAATTAAACGTTTTGGACGCCAATAACCAACCCATTCGATCGCTCTGAACAGCATGGATGGCCTCCCTCATGTGATTCTCATCCCATGACTGCCTTGAAGATTTCCTAATATATGGAGCCATATCTAAAATGAAGTTTTTACAATTTCAGATAAAATGTATAAACAGATTAATTAATATAAGATAGTGATGTAGGTGAGATGGCATACCCACATACACGACGTGCAAACTGAAATATAGTCAAGAAAATTAGAAAGTTCAAACAAACAGTAAACCACCAAGATTAGTTTCAACAGTATTCCCAAAAGGTACAAAAAAAAATTGAAACTTACCTTATATTGTCTACTGGCGTCCGATAACAAGCACAGAAAGATTTTATCAAAAAAAACTTGTGAACGTCGTTTTTTAAAACGTCCACGCAGCAACTCACAAGTGAACAGAAATAAACCAAAAATGGCGTCGGTACAACGGCATATCCATTATTCACGCGCAGCAACAGCGGTGTTGCCATATCTATCCGATTTTCACAAATTACAAGCGCTATGCCATTTCAGTGACTATGCCGTCTCAGTGTACTTTCCCCTACACAGGTTGATTCAGTATCATCCATTTCGGATTTAAGCGATCAGGTATGATTCGAGTAGTGCTACAGCTAGAGGAATAAACCATAGTTCATGTGATTTTTTTTTAATCAAATCATTATAAAAAAACATTTGTTTTATTTTTATTAGGGTCCACAACACAAAGAGAATACAAATTCCCCATCATCATCAACCACTTCAGTCCTAAATGTGATTTCGGAACTGTCGGAACCCAATGAAGTGGTAGAGCAATGCTCAAGCACCAGCACTTGGCAAATATCTTACGGAAAAAATATGCATGCAGGAACCAGAACTGTAACAATAAGGCATTTAAGGCAACCAACAATTAATCAAGGTATGCACCAACTGTCTACTTTTTCAGGTAAAGTCTATTTTGGATTGTATATGAAATAAATAATAAAATTTCTTGTAGATGGTGGATCAAAGAATGCCAAAATAACAGATGCTCACTTCATAGTTAAAGATAATTTACCCTTTACCACAGTTGAAGGAGCAGGATTCCTAAGCCCTATGAAGGAGATAGCCCTGTTATAAAAGAGGGGCTTTCTTTTCAGAGCTTCGAAACCCCAGGCATCAGCATACGCTCTGGAAATAACGGTAATTAAGGGTCAAAAATGGCCATTTACTGAAGTAATCCATGATAACCAAGATGTATTTGTTACTACGCTCTGACTCAGGGAACGGTCCGGCAACATCCATCGCTATCCTTTCAAATGCAAATGGGAGACCGACGTTGTACTGTTTCATGGGCCCCCGAGATATTAGTTTAGGGCCTTTACTGGTAGCACAGATGTCACATTTTTGGGACCAGTTTTTCATGATAGTGAAACCAGTAAAAATGTTTCCGAGTTTTGTCCAAAGTCTTATTAATTCCAAAATGTGCCCCTGAAGTTCCGTCATGTATTTCTTTTAATACATCTTCTACTCGATCTTTTGGAATAACTAGTTGGCTCTTAGTGAATTTCCCATCGGCACTTTCCCAAACTCTTTTAAGTAAACCATTTTCTACGGCCAGAGAGTTCCACTGAGCCCACAAAGCCTTGTAATTCAAACTCTTGTTCGACATTTCCCTCCATTATGGCCTACGTTCGTAGAGATACTTATGGAAATGGTCGACTACTTTGACTATGGCAAGCAAGTCTCTTCTAGTGATACAATAATTTCGTTCTGGCTTTGATAAGGTTCTGCTGTAGTACTCTACGACATGCTCCTGTGAATTTTGAATTTGTGAAAGGACAGCTTTAATACTGATGTTGCTTGCATCTGTGTCCAATATCAACAGGCCTTTCTGATCGGGATAGAGCAGCTTACGGTAATCCACACAAAATCTAAGACTTCCATATTTCTTTGTAACCACTATTTGACTCTTCAATAATTTCCTCTTGGAGCATTGTATCAATTTGGTTTTCCACTTCCTGTTGTTTAGCTACTGGCATACGTCGAGGTGGTTGTCTAATTGGGTGTGATACGTCTGCTTCTTTCAAGATGAAATCTGTGGCTTCTTGAATTATATCTAGATCGAGGTGTTTCCATGATTTCTCCAAAGTCTGCATCAAGGTGTCTGTATCCAATTTTGATTTTCCAAAATGTCGCTTATCTGATAGGTCACAGTTCGATATTTGCTTGACTGGTTCGAGAGTTTGAATAATATCTCCTTCCTTTATTTTTATTGTTTCAGAAGAAACATTGGCAATTCTTATCATAATGTCTCCTTTGTTCTTACTAGAGTCTTTCCAACGCGAGATTTTTCTGGTTTATCTCCAATAAAATTGTGTGTTAGTCCAACGCAGCACCCAGGGTTAGTTTCTAACTTTCTGCAAATGATCTTCTCAGTATTTCCAGGAATCCTCACCGGATTTGTGGCCAGGATCTTAACGGCTTGAGATTTTTCTTGTATAGTAAGGACAAATTCTTCATTACCAAATTTAAGGAAGTTCATAGAAGGATCGAATGAGAAACCATGTTGGCCGATCAAATCCATTCCTAAAATAAAATCATCCTCTATATTGGCGACTATTGTTCTGTGCCTGAAGGCGGTAGATCCAAAAGTAAGCTCAACCATAGCTTCTCCTTGAACTGGTGCCGATTTGCCCGTGACTGTCCGTAGTGACAGGTTTCTAGTGAGCGGGTGGATTGCCCGATACTTGACTATGTTTTTCTATTTATAGAAACTTCAGCACATGTATTGAAAGTGATGGTTCAAAATTCTTCATTAATTTGTCCTCCGAATTTCAATCCTTTATAGTCTATAATGACTGCCCAACAATCTCATGTAAACAAACAACCCTGGGGGCATCGTCATCACTAACCAGCATTCGCCCCTCCATACTGGTAAGTTCTCGTTTCCCTGTCTGTTATTAGGGCTGGCGTCTGTAGATCTCGAAAAGCGTTGGTAACGGTCCCTAGATGGAGAGGACATCCTTACTCTACAATCTCGTTGAATATGTCCAAGCTTATGGTACCGGTGACATTCTACCCGGTTTCTCGGTGTTGGTGTTTGTCTGGAGTCGTTTCCCGTTTTTCCACCTTTTAGTAATAATTTCTCCATTCTCTCCATGAAATTACTCATTAAATTCTCGAAGCTACCATCCTCTTTTGACGATTGTTTATCCTTTGGGTCTTTAATGGACAGTGCTCGTATTCTGGGTCGTAAGGCACCAAAGACTGCTTCCAGTTCCTATGCTCGGACAAGGGCTTCGCTACTTCTCCTGAACGTGAACATTCTCAGGTTTTCCATGATCTTGGAAATTCTGAGACCATCAATAAACGCAAGTACTGCCATCCATTCCTGCATGTCTTCCCCAGCTGCAGGAAACGTCAAACCCACTAGCCTTTCAACTTCGGATTCGAAATCTTGTAAATTCTCGCCGGGTTTTTGAATTCTTGATTTAACTTGAGTTTCAAATACTTCTTGTCTGTAATGGTCTTCGAAGCGCAATTCTAACGTCTGACTTAGATGCTGGTAATTCTGTTGGTAGATTGAAGGAATGGACTGAAGAAGATCGAAGGCAGATCCTCGTAGCGCCACTATCAGTGCTGTAGCTTTTTCTTGATCGTTCCATCCGTTGGTGTTTGCAGCGGCTTCAAATTGTCGGTTAAACATGGTCCAGGACGTAAAACCGTCAAAAGTTTGTGGTTTTATCCTTATACTAGAGAATGATGCTCCAACACTACCTGTATTTTTGATTTATTCATCTTATTTCTGAGTGCTTGGACTTGGTCCGCAACTTTTTGTCTTAATTGCTGGACATCGGCTTTGACCTCAGATTTAACTTCCTGAACGTCGTCTTCAACTTCGGCTTTCACTTCCTCGATCTTTTGTTCTAGGTCTAGGTCTAGTGCCACAATATCTTTATTCAAGAAAGAAACCAGGACCTAGTTTTGAATACAGAAAAGCAAATTCAATCCGGCGAGGAATATAAATGTCTAGGTTCGGATGAATACTTTAGACGTTTAAATATGAAGGAAAAAGGAAAGACGGGCGATATGGAATACTCTGGGATAAAATCATATGGAAATATAATAAAAAGTAGGAAAATCCTGAATGGGAATAATCACAAACCAGAAAATACCGGAAATATTGACAGTTGGAGAAGGTATAATAGTGGACAACATTAAAACAATACAACTGGTATGGTAGCAGGGGCATGCACAAAGAATGGAAAACGATAGAGTATGAGAACTGTTCCAATAGTTCAACCCAAATGTAAGAGGGAAATGGGAAATACTCAGAAAAAGCTAGAGAGAAGGCGTAGATAATGAATCTCGCAACAGAGGCTTAAATATAGATTTATGGGCAGGTATAGAGACTAGAGACGAAGGAATATTGGCCTCCAATCGCCAAAAAGGAAAGTTGTGAAATTGATTTTTCTATATTTTACTGGGTCTCTAAGCCACATGATAATTATACAGTGTCCCCCATAATGTTCGTTACATATGAGAAAATTTAGATATGGAAATGCGACAAGTCGGGTTAGATGGCAGAACATCGGAAAAATTGATTAGAAAGATGTTTTAGGGCTGTCTGCGAAATTTGGAGCAAAAGTAACAAAAAATAGCCATGGATATGCTCATGAATATGCCGCCACAACAGTGATCACGTGACTGATATCAAAATATACTTTTAGGTTATCGGAGATGCAGGATCGATCGCACATAATAAAAAATTCACGAACCTACAGATACATTTTTTTCCCGTATATTATGGGGGACACTGTATATTGTGTTATCCACCTGTATCTGTCAAATTCTGTCGCATACCTATTGAAAATGTCGAGACGTTCGAATAAGCTAAGCACAAAGCTAAAAGAAGCAATTCTTACTAGTGAAGAATCAAATCCTCGGGTGGTATCCGAAGGTACACCTGCTGAGGCTTTACCTTTTGCTGAATTTTCAGAACAAGATATAAACTTGCAAAGATGGGACAATATCGAGGTAGGTCAAGACCAGAGAATAAATGCTCTACAGCCTCAAATTTACGCAATAAGTAAAACGCACATGCGTAAGATTATTATATATTTTATCTATTTGTTACAGGATAAATTAACATCCACTGAACAACAATTATTCGAAGATCCTCATGAAGTTCACTTACCATCAGGTTTTACTGCGCACCAATGGAAACGTTGCTCAGAAATTTATCCTAATGTAAGTAGAAAAAAAAATAAGATTTTTTTAAAAAAATAAAACTGCTTCAATAGATAATAATACGAACGCATAGTTAGAGCTTTGGAATTTTTAATAAAATAGCGTTAAGCTCCGTATTTATTGCAAGCATGCGGAAAGCTAATCATTTAACCGGCTTTTCCAGCGAGGTAATTTGTTTTTGTATATTTAACGTTATGAAAGCATTTTCGAGTTGCGGGGGCTGTAGTAAATTTAGGTTGACTTTAAAATTGGATAAAATAATTTTTATATTCCCAGAAGCTCTAATTAAATCCACTGAGAATGATATTTATGTTAAAGCAATGAATATATAGCTACAAGCACTAATTACGATACATTAAATTGGGTTCATTAGTGAAATCCAATCTTCCATAATGTTTATTTGGCATTGCGATTCGGGGTGTCGATCCGGTATATTTAATCCGAATCGATGTCAAAGCTCGCGCCAAATGAAACTAGGGCAGACTGTAAATTTTCGGGAACATTTAGAATTAAACACAAACGCCATGTGCCACCTTTGTGTTCAATTTTAGTTACCTACCCAATTTTGAGTGAATATGCTTCCCTCCTATTCTTCTTCCCTCTGCAAAAATGCTTCGGTGCATTTTGCTCTATTGGGTCATTTTTTCCAAGTTCATGAGAACTTCAAATGGAGTTATGTTAGTTTTCTGCTAGTAGATCGATCGATCTCTTGTAGTTGCAAGCTTCGTAGGATATACCCATGTAAGTTTCGAAAAACCTATCATTGATGCCTATATTTACCTACTGAGAGCTTTTTTTCGTTGATTTCGTTATCGGTCCCAAATAATCGCCATGGTTATGACGGTTCATTTGGTTTTGGGAAGGGATGTAGATATCCCTCCTGCTTGCCTACTTCACGATTGCTTAGAGTACAAGTCATAAAATTGGATACTACTCTTCCTTATACAGTGAGGAAATAAAGTTCGTCGCCTTCCCTCTAACTTTTGAACCGCTCGGTATATTGCAACGTAATTCAGTATGACGATATGTGAGCTAATCCTCCATTTTTTGAAAAACAAATGACATCTTCCGCTGTCAAAATGACAGCTGGGCGCAGTTTTGAAATGTTTTTTTAAATAGAAGGCGGTGTCGAGTGATATATCGTTTCAAAGGTCTATTTATTTCTAATTTAATTTCCGACCATCGTCACCAAAAGTAACTGGGACAGCATCATATTAGCTCTTGTACTATTATATGAATTTTATTGTCAAATATTTGTCAAACTATGAATCAAATGCATTGAAATGAATGACAGTAGAATTAGTCCAGGAGATTATTATGCATTATTTTTGTCCCAGATACTTTTGGTGACGATGGTACATGTCGTTTTAGAACGTCTTTCTTCGTTGTCCGACACCTAATTTCCATCTTCTTCTATCGTCGCAATCCTCTGATGCGAGATTTCTTTCACTCATGGACTTTTGTATGGTCTGCCATTCCAGTTTTGGTCTTCCTCGTTTTCTTCTACCTGTTGGTTGCCAGTGCAGCATTTTTCTGGGCCACCTGTCATTTGGCATTCGTTCTACGTGTCCGTATTAGGTAAGTTGTTTCTTTTCAATGTCCTGCTGGGTCTTTCGTACCTTCTATACCCATTTGTTGTTTTATATTGTCGTTTCTTATTCTGTCTCTTCGTGAGATTCGCATGGATCTTCTAATAGCATCCATTTCAAATGCTTCCACTTTTTTCTTTTGTCTGTCTGTAATTCTCCAAGTCTCGGCTCCATATAGAAGGGCTTTTTTTCACGTCTGTTCCGGTGTTGTCGAATGTGATACCTAGATACTCATATTTTTGACAATGCAGAATTTCCTGACCGTCGTCCACTTCCAAGTTCCCGTTCTGGTTGCCAACACATAGATATTTTGTTTTATTTATATTAACTCTCAGGCCCCATTCTTGATACTCTTCTATCAGTTTTCTAATCATATATTGCATATCCTCTTTGTCACTGGCCACTATGACCTGATCATCTGCAAACTGAAGAGTAAACAGGCACCTATCATTTATCTCTATACCCATTCCATGGATCTTCCTCTTCCAATTTTTCAGTGCTACTGCTACGTATATTTTAAAAAGCGTAGGAGAGATACAACATCCTTGACGTAGTCCTTTATTTACTATAAATGTATCTGTGAGTTTTTTACCTATCTTAATTTTTGATTTTGAGTCTTTATATAGTTCTTTAAGTGCCGTTATGTAGGTGTGATTGATGTTTGTGTGTTCTAATACCTTCCATAGTCTGGATACTGGGACTGTATCATATGCTTTTTGTAGGTCAACAAATGTGAGGTGGGTTTCCAAATATCTAGCAGATCTCTTTTCTATGACTTGTTCTACCATTTTTTTTTACCAACGCATGATCTTCCTGCTCTAAAGCCGCACTGCTCTTCTTCTTCTTGCTCTTTATAATCTTCTTCAATAAGATCACGCAGGATTCTACCGTATAGTCTGCTTAGTGTGCTTGTGACTGATATGCCCCGATAGTTGTTACAATCCAGCTTATTTCCCTTTTTTGTGAATGGATGATATAAACGCCGTTTTCCAGTCTTGTGGAACAGGTCCATTTAGGCATTTATTGATAATACATGTGAGACCTTTAAAGAGCTTCTCAGTTCCCCATTTCAGCATTTCTGAGTATATCCCTTCTGGGCCGCTAGCTTTACCTGACTTAAGATTCTTAACTGTCTTTTTTACTGTTTCTTCAGATATCTCAACTACTTCTCCATGTACTTCATTATGTCTTGGAGAATCTAATATATATTCCGGTCTACATTCTTGTAATAGACCCTTGTAATGTTCTACCCATTGCTCTGGTTTAATAATCTGGATATCAGCTCTGTCTTTTCCTGGGTTTTTGACATTTGATATAAATCTCCATTCCTCTGAACATTTCCTTCCTCCTATGTAGGTGTTAATTTCTTCACATTTCTTATCCCATGACTCGTTCTTGGCTATAGTGATGCACGTTCTTAGTTGTCTTTTTGTGCCTTTATAAACTTCAAGGTCTTGTTCATTTTTTGTTGTTAGCCATTTCAGATATTTTTGCTTCTTCTGTTGGACTAATAGCTCTATCTCCTCGTTCCACCAGTATTTCTTGTTGGTATTTTTTTTCCTTCGTTCCTATTGCTTCTTGGGTGGCTTCTATTAGACTCCTTATAATATTCTCAAAGAGTTTATTGAAGGTACATTCTTCAGGGTTCAATAGTTTGCTATCGAGTCGCCTCTGATATAGAAATACAGTGCTGTCATCTCTAAAACTGTCAAAATTATAATTTGTTGTATCCACTGTGTCCGTTAGTATGGCATTGGTGTTTTGTTCCTCTGGGTTTTTGTTCGTTTTCCTAAATTGCAACTTTATTCTGGCTCTTACTAAAAATTGATCTGACCCACAAATTATTACTCTTAGGACTCTTAGGTCGTTTATCTCTATATTTGTTTTTTGTCTGCTTATCACATAGTCAATAATAGTTTTCAGGTTATCTCCAAAAGGTCCTACAACTGAGCGATTGTTCGTCCTTCCCGTTTTTGCATTGAAATCCCCTAGAATTATGATTTCTCTATTTCTTCCAATATCTACTAGGACTTCATCCAATTTGTCAAAGAACTCCTGCTTAATTCCGACTCTTTCGTCCTCTGATGAAGCGTAGGCTGCTATAATGGTGATGTTACAGCCATGTAGTTTCAAGTTGACCGTTAGGATATTTTCATCTACAGCTTCCCAGTTGTTAATTTTGTTTTTCCAGTCTTTCCTTATCAATATGGATACGCCTCTAGCTGCTCTCATGTCCTTTGAAACTCCAGTAAAAAGGTGAATATATTCTCCAACATTTTCGGTGCCATTTCCTTTTTTCTTAGTTTTGGTTAGTGCTACTAAATCGATGTTCAATTTCTGAATTTCTGATGCAATGATATCCGTTTTCAGTCTAATACCCTGCACATTCCACGTAGCGAGATTCATACTCCATTTTCTTTGCCGTGTTCGTTGTCTTGGGGATCCGTCCAATGTTTCTTGGTAGTTTTGTATTTTTCCGAGTATTAGAGAACCAGTCTAATGCCTCAACCCCCATCCTGGAGGACCAGGGGCGGTATTCTCGTTCCCGAAAACGTTCACCGCTTTTAAGTCGCTCGGCACTTTTAATGTAAATTTACATTAGAAGTGCCGAGCGACTAAAAAGCAGTGAGCGTTTTCGAGGACCAGAATACCGGCCCAGGTCAGTTTTTGTTTCACGGTGGGTATTTTATTTTACCATTACCCTCTGAATCTGTTGGATTACAGATCCAGCGAGCTACCCCTAATTCCCATAGGGACGCACCCGATGGAGGTAACTGACAAATCCCCACACGGGGATCATAAATTTTTGATGTGATAAAATGACTAGCGAGACTAAAGTTATAACTAGACCTTAATGGTATAGAACATATTCCTGCTTCATAGATAATCTTCTGGTTATATGATAAACAATTTTATTTAGATTGTCACTTAACTAGTATTTACTTAAAAATAAAATGCAGAGAAAAATATTACATTTAGTTGCAACTATTTAATTAAGCAAAACGTATGAAATACAGTTGTTCGCCTACTACTGAAAAACCTCAGCCATAGCCATAGATATGGCTTCTGATACACACTCGAAAGAGAATCGTATATTTCGCTTCTGTGGACGAAGCAGCTACCTACCTAAACTCAGTTTTGCTTTTTTGAATCCCTAAAAATTGTACAGTTTTCAAATGCTATGAAAACATGCCCCGATGTTCTTTTCCTATCCACTCCATCATTCTCCCAAACAGAATACACATAAATTTCTCTCATATTAAATTTAAGTTCTACAAATTCCTGGACAATATGGATATATCCTAGACTTTTTTTGAGCATGTCCACAGTATTTTTTATTACATTCTCATTTGCTTTGGCATCTGCTTGAAATGCTTAATGCAATATTAGTCCAAGAGCCCAGAGCCGCCA